AAAGAGGGAAGCTCCTTTGAAGTGGGCAAATATCATCAGTTAAAAAGGAATCAGAGACTATATACAAGTGAAAAAGCAACTTATTTTTAGAAAAAGTGTTTGTAGATACTTTAATTTTGAAATTAAGAACATTCAACAACAATAACAAATTTCATTTTCATAAACAATGCAAGCATGATTGGGAGATATGAGGGAATAAAACAAGGTAGAAACAGAGGTAAAGAAAAAGATGGCAGGAGGTGACATAGGGATTTAGTTCTGAGAGTAATTCTACCTACTGATTCCCAAACAGCTTTCTGAGTGGAACACTCTTTCTTCACTTCCTGCTTCCCTTTGCCATGTATTTCTCAAGCCTCAGTTTAAATGTCTCCTCTGGTGACAAGTCTTCACTTCAAGAAAGGATCTTCCTTGAGATAGAAATTAGAGAGGATTTGCTGATGGGAAGGGTTCCCTTTATGCCTAAACTGGGAATATTTGGCTGCCTCAGGGGATAATCTGATTCTAGGCTCCTGCCCTTCTCCCTCTTCTAAACAATCAGGCCAAGCAAAGAAGTAGAATCCCATAAAGGGGCTTTAGAATAAGTCATTCCTAAATCTGTAGGCTTATGGCTCATGGGCCAAATCCTACCCATAGCCTATATGGCCAGTAAACTAAGGATTGTTTCTGCATTTTAAAATGGTTGAAAAAGAGTCAAAAGAATATTTTGTGACACATGGAAAGTATACACAATTCACATTTCAGTATCCATAAAGAAAGTTTTACTGATTCACAGCCACACTCATTTGTTTTAAATACTGCCTATGACTACAGGGCTTTCCAGGTGGTACTAGTGGTAAAGAAGCTGCCTGCCAATGCAGGAGACATAAGAGATGCATCATCAGTCCCTGGGTTGGGAAGATCCCCTGGAGAAGGGCATGGCAACCCACTCCAGTACTCTTGCCTGGGGAATCCAATGGACAAAGGAGTCTCACGGGCTACATTCCATAGGGTCACAAAGAGTCGACATGAATGAAGCAATTTAGCACACACACATGAACTTTCATGCTACAATGGTGAGCTGAGTGTGGTGCGATAGTGCCCACAAACCTGAAGATATTTACTCTCTGGCCTTTTACCAAAAAAGTCTGTGACCCATGTGTAGGAGAGAGACAGAAGTAGAGGATGGGGTGTAAGAATGAGGTAGGTTGAGATTAGCCCTTGAGAGAGATGAGAGTCCAAAAGTGGATACTGTGTTCTTGTGTCTTCTTAGACACCCCTCTGAGAGATTGCATAATAGGTTTATTGGGATGCTAGCTCTTTTCCTCACTGGGAAATAAAAAGAGATGGTGAAAAATTATTTTTGGAATTTCAGGGGTTTCTTTCTGTGAGGAAAAATAGTTTGGAGACAAAACTACATTTTTCAGTGGGCTGTGTACTGGGTCACCTGTAGGGAACACAGGTTTTCAAAGGTAGGAGCACATAGGCAGGGGGGCTCTGAGAGAGGAGGAAGCTAATGATAGAATCAGCAGGACGGTGGTGGAATGTTATGTGATGTGATGGTCTTCTTGTTGTTAAGTCACTAAGTCGTGTCCAACTCTTACAATACCATGGACTGTAGCCCACCAGGCTCCTCTGTCCATGGGATTTCTCAGGCAAGAATACTAGAGTGAGTGGCCATTTCCCTCTCCAGGGGATCTTCCCGACCCAGGAATCAAACCTGCACCTTCTGCATTGCAGGAAGATGCTTTACTGCTGAGCCACCAGGGAAGCCCATGATGATCCTGGAGGAGTCCTTTTTTTTCCACATCAGATTTCTCTCGAGAGGAGAAACCTCTGAGAGATGGCACTCTCATGTGATGCTCATGTGGGGCCTTATGTCTGCTCTCGTTGGTTAGAACTTGGAAAAGATGGGTGATTGACATTCCGTGGCCTTCAATACTCACAACGATAAATTTAGAAAGACTGCTAACATGCTTGACATCTGGGTCTCAGGAAGATAATGAAGGGCAAAATGTGTGCCATATAGGCGTGAGGAGACAAATTTGAATAGAATGCAGAAACTTAGAACTTTGTGTTCTATTCAGATGCCTAATATCTTCATAGTATTCTGTAGCCTGGAGCTGCTAACTTCTGTCCCACAGCGTATCACAGTCCGAGTTACACAGAGCAACTATATAGAGCTCAAGCTGGAGAGAAAGCAGGTATTTTCCAAATCTCCTCCCTAAATCACAGAGTTGCCCTATCTTAGCTCAGTTGCTAACTTGATGCCATGTGACATTATCGCCTCTTCCTCACTGTGGGCTCTAGGTCTGAGGGCTCAGTAGTTGAAGCGCACTGGTTTAGCTGCCCCAGGGCGTGTGGAATCTCCTGGGACCAGGGATTGAACCTGCAGGCAGTGTCCCCTGCGTTGCCAGGTACATTCTTAACCACTGGATCACCAGGGAAGTCCATGGCCTCTTCAGATTTTTGGAAGAATGTTTTCACTTTTTGTTTGCATGTTAGTTCCCATGCAGTCAAGCCTTTGTCCTCTTCAACAAGAAACAATGGTGTAACTACAAAGAGTTCCGAGTGGAAAACTGGCTTTGAGTATCATATACCACTAGAATATATAAAACAGTGGAACTGACTTTTAGTAAATCATAACTAATGGTTTTCCCATTGGGGATTAATCCTCTTGATCACTAACTCAGCCATGATAAACTGTTGCTGCTTGTCAAAACTGCGGGTTACTTTTAGCTCTGACCAACTGAATACTTCCAGTATATTCTGGGAAAGATGTGTTTTGCTTAGGTGGCAACATTAGGAAGGTGGAAGAAGGATTTCTCCATGCCATTTTCAAAATGAAATTAATGGCTCCTTACCTCTTGTTTCTTTAACTGGTCTGCTAGTCCCAATATGTCAGAGATCATATTATCATCATATATAATTTCATATTAATATTAAAATAGATTAAAAAACAAAAACCACTAGCTCAAAATCTACTTCCTTTAGCCATAATATATACTTTGAGCCATTCAAATAAGATCTCAGAATACTAAATTTCATAAAAAAATTTCAAAACTACACTTGTTGCTTATCCCTGAATGTCTTTTAAGATTTTTCCAATTATTAAAATTTCTGCCAGTAGCAAGCAGTCCTGTATTTGAGTCTTGGCTCACTTTCTAGCCCCATGATTTTGAGCTAATCAGTTCCCTCATCTTTAAAATAAAGATAAAAGTGGTATCCATTTAATGGGATTGTGACAAGGTTGAGATGCTCAGAATAGTACCTGGTCCCTAGTAACTGGTCATGAAATGTCTTTGATCATTATTGTCTGTCCATTTAATTTTTTCATGGGGGCAGTAAGCTATATTGGGAGGAGCATGTACTCAGTGAGTCAGTTCTGTGGTCCAATTCTTTCTGCCACTTACTGTGCAGCATCTCGAGAAATCTAATTAATGCTTTGACACAATATTTCCTCATTACCAAAGTGGATATATGGTAGTAATATCCAGATCACTGAGTTGTGAGGAAAGTGCCTCTTATGTCCCTTTCCTCCCAACTGATTATCAACAAGTGAACATTTATGAAGTTTATTCCAAGGGCAAGGCAAAGCACAGGCTGTTACAGGAAGTTTCAAAAGAAAATAAAGGCGTGTTCTCCATCGCGGGCAAGGAGAGCAGCTAACAAAATCAAGCCAACCGTACACAATGAATTGCTGATGAATATGCAAATTAAAGTGGGTCTCTAATCCTTGCCCATTTATATTTTTTTCCCAGTGTGAATGTGGAGGAATTTTCAATGAGAGCCTTTTTCCTGGTTATTTCCACAAGTCAGCAGATCCTCAAAGCCCAACTGAAATACAGGGCTGATGAAAGACCCTAGAAAAACTGCAACAGTCACAAACCATTCGGTGGCCACGGCCACCGAAACTGAACTGCAAGGGCAGGTCTGAGGCAGGTAAACGGAAGGACGAAAAGCCGGTCCCGTCGCCTGGACTCCGACACAAGCGGGGGCAGGAGGGCTTCTCCCCAGCATCGCCGGCCGCGCATCCCGGCCATGGAGGATGTGCCTCACGCGTCGTGACTGACCCGAGGCGTGGCGCCGGCGGCCGCCGGGCTGAGTCGCAGAGGCCCGGAGAACTCCAGTCCTCACACGGTTAAACCTCTCCCAAGGAGACTGGAGGAGGGAAGGTCCCCGCCCACGAAAACCCGGAGACTCCCGTCCCGACGCCCCGCCCCCGCCCCCGCCTCGCGCCCCGCCCCCGCCTCGCGCCCGCCGCCCCCGGACGGACTCCCGGGCCGCACCTGCCGGTGCTCACACGCCCCCGCGCGCCCGCCGCCCCGCGCGCCAGGCCTCTGCGCCGCCGCCGCCGCCGGCGGACCTGGGCGCCCGCCCGAGCCCGGAGCCGCCTCCGCCACCACCAACGCCGCCGCCGCCGCCTTCGGCACGCTCCCGCCGCAGCTCAGCCGCACCGCGCGGCCTCGACGCGGCCCGCGGCCGCCGGAGCCGTAGCCGCCGCGCTCCTCTCCGCCGCGGCCCGCGGACGCCGCCGCCTTAACCGCCCAGCGGGCCCGGCGCAAAAGCTGAGGAGAACCGGGCCGGGGCGCGAGGGTGCGCGGGCCGCAGCCGCCGCGGGCGTTCGCTGCGCTCGCGCTCAGGCGAGGACGGTCTCAGTCTCCTCCTCCGACCTCCTCAGTCCTCAGCATCCTCCTCCCGCTTCTCAAAAAGCATCCCCGGTCCCCACCCCCTGACACCCCACCGCGGGAACGAGGCCTCGGGAATTAAGGGGAGTGGCTGTGGGGGCGCGTCGCGGCTCCCAGCTCAGCCAGACCCTGTTCCAAGACATGGGCTGGTCCTCGTAAAAGCTGCGCCCTGAAGAGGAGCGGAGAGTAGTGTTCCTGGCCGGGGGCTGAGGGGCTGGAGCTCTGGCATTATCTTAGGGTGGGGCGGGGAGGGCTCTGGATTTGTGGGGATCGGGGGTGGGCGGGGAGGAGGACCCGAAGAGGGGAAGGACTCTGAGAGGGAGTCGTTGAGAGACTATGGGGAAGGACCAGGAGCTCTTGGAAGCTGCTCGCACTGGAAATGTGGCTCTGGTGGAGAAACTCCTGTCTGGCAGGAAAGGAGGGATCCTGGGCGGTGGATCCGGACCCCTGCCCCTGTCTAATCTGCTAAGGTAAGGACCGGAACCCGCTCCGCGTTTGCACACTTCGCTATGCATTGTGATGAATACGTCCTTCCTTCTCACGGTTATTGCACCTGGTGGCTGCCAGCGATTCATTCTTAAATTAGGTAGGAAAACAGAATGTGTGTATGGAGAGGAGGCATGAACCTCCCTGTCAGATAGATGCCTTAGATTCTTTGAGTAATTTTAAAATAGCCTTCCACCAATGCGTCAGTAGCTACTTTTCTGTGAGCTGTGGTGCAGAACTTGTACATGCACTAGCACTAGTGTTGCTGGAAGAATTTTTTACGTCTCACCCGCTCTCCATCAATGTTTATTATATGTTTTCAGTTTCGAATCCAGCTTCCTACCCGCACCGCCCCCCCACCCCCGCCCCGCCGTTCCCTTTTCGGCTATTTAAATGAAATTGGCAGAGAAGCTTTTGCGTGCATGCTATTATCCTGCAAAGCCACAGCCCTTGGTTGCTGCTTCCCTTCTCTTGCAGAAGGCATTTGCTGTGTTGTGGGATATGATCCCACAAAATGAAGAGAGTGAACCTTCTAGTGAGATGTCATCAGTACAGGGTGTGTGTAAAACTTGATGAGGCAGGTTAGGCAGCCCCAGCAGTACTTTCAGTCATCTGGACATGGCTGAGTGAAACTTGGTTATTGTATCTCAGGATGAAGAATGCCAGGTTGGGATTGGGAAAGTGTATATGGAATATAGTAGAGGCCTTTTAATGTGAAGATGTTCCAGGTGAGACTTAATATTGCTTGGAAACACACATGCACAGTCTTTTTCAGCAGGCAGTGTCTTAGAAATAGAGTGATTTATATATTTGAAAAAACAATTAATTTAAACGTTGAATTGATGGGCAAATGAAATCAGTTGTGAGGGAGGAAACCTGAAGAATATTCACTAGATAAAATTCAAGAAAAGCTATTTAGTTTCTAAAATCATAGCTATTCAGTTTATCTTGGATGTTTTTGGAGGCATCGATTATCATTCACATCTTCACCCTAAAACATCTCTTAAGTCTAACTCTATTTGTAAAAAATTTTTAAGCTCAAGTGATTTTCTTGGTTTTTAACAGTTTTAAAAACTGTTCTTTGCTGCTCTTGACAAGTGCTTAATACAAACTTTTGAATGATGACATTGTGTTCTTTACACAAGTTTTCATGTGTTGTGTTGGTCAGATAATGCAGTTACAGTCTTGGCTAATAGGGTAAATGAGAACATTCCTGTTATGGTGAAATGAATTTAGTTGGAAAATAGTTGATGGGATTTTAGAAAGCTCCACATATGATCATCTGTACTTGTTGACAGTGCCATTTTATTGTAATGATAGTTCGCTTTGGAACAATGAATATTTATGGGGCATTTTTTTCAGTAAGTCTTAGAAGTGATGACTCTTGTGTGCACTCCCTTGTTAAGTAATTTTCACTTTCAATTACAGGTAGACAGTTTGTACAAATTTCGGAGTATAGATCTAGTAATTGCCCTTAGTCACAGGTAGTTTATACAGAAGCAGTTTATTTGGGTATAGTTTTAAATTGCAGGTGAAATAATTGTTTGCTGTCATATCAGTGATAAATACCGTTATGGTTAGAAACTGATATCCTGAAAATAATCAATTTCTTTGCAAAAACGCTAAAGAATTCTTTGAGAGCAGGGAGAACTTCAGTTGATTTCTTTGAGATGAATGGTGTTTTAAAAAACTTATCTTTGTGATAGAACTTAAACATCTTTTAAATGCCTTAGTTGTGTCATTTTAAAAAGAGGATGTAAAATTTTTGGAATAGAATAGCAACTATTTAGTGTTGGTAAACATCAACTATGACATGAAAATTGTGACTATAATGTACTTCTTGAATGAGAGGTTTTCCCTTGCTGGTTTTGTCAGAGGTAGTAGTAGCAGCTCTACAGTGAGAATACATATAGAAAACAAAACAAAAAACCTTACAAATATGTGCTCATTAGAGTAGTTTGAGCCCAGTTGTAAAACAGCAATATCAAAACCAGTAGCCTTTACACTTCCATTTTTCTATGTCATATTGAATAAACAACTAAAATAGTGCCTTTGAAGAAAATGAGAATTGAAATTATCTTCTTTGGGTGATTCTTTACATAAAATGAAATTCCTAAGAAAGCACACTTCATTTAGTTGTCATTTTATTTCACAAATGATTGTCATCAAAAGCTTATTTACAAGGTAATAGACAATTATCTCTTTACCTTCAGACATAAAGACAGTTCAAAATTTTAAAATATTTTGGAATGAATTGTGGATTAGATTTGGTACTCCCCTGTCCTACTTTTGGATGAGGAAATGGCTACCCCCCTCTAGTACTCTTGCCTGGAGAATCTCATGGACAGAGGAGCCTGGCAAGCTATAGTCCTTGGGTCACAAAGAGTCGGACACAACTGAAACGATTTAACATTGACCTACTTTATTATTTGTGTTGTGTAATAATAGGCTCAGATCCTGTGCTAAATGCGTATATCATCTCATTCAGTTCTTTTGTCAACCTGAAGAGGTTGGTCCTCATTTCTCAGATGATGGACTAAAGAGATAGGAAGATTAAGAATTTGCCCAAGATTACATAACTAGTAATGGCAAGGATTTTAAGTTTTGTGATTCAGATTTGCCTTACCTTGCCTTAAGTCTTATTCATTGAATCTGTTTTATTTGCAGAAGTTTAAAGTACATGGCCAATGAGTCTAATTTGAACACTTTTTTGGTAAGAATAATAATTTAAAAATCCTTATATCCTTAAAAAAAGCAACTCATGACTGCTCTTTGAAGAATCAGTAGATACTCTTTCTGAAGATGCTTTTGATTATTTATTACCTACTAAGTGAGCAGTAGCTGTATGATGGAGAATCAGGTATATTTGGTTGACACTATGATTTTCAGCAAAAGTAAAAATGACCTTGAATAAATATGTTTCTAAGTCTCACTGTGCTCTTCTATGAAGTGGAAATAGTAAGAATACCTATCATATGGAGCTGTTGTAAGGGTTAAATGGGCTATAGAAATTAATGCAAAGGATTTAGCACATTGGTATTCATCATTGTGCTGTGATTTCTCACAGAACTCTAGAATACTTGACTCTATTTCTTTTCTTTATAATTTTTTCATTTTAGAAAGCTTTAATTTATTAGTAATCCTTCCTTTCCCTTGAGCTGAAATCTTCCTTTCTAGAACGTCTACATTTTGTTTTTAGTTTAAAATTTTGGGGCTTTCCAGAATAAATTTAATCTCGACTTCTGTGTACAACAGTTTTAAGGTCCTACTTTATCAAGACTAAATATCTCCAGTTCCTTATCACTTTGTTGACTATTTCTTAAGGCCTTAGGTTTCCCTGGTGGCTCAGATGGTAAAGAATCTGCCTGCACTGCAGGAGACCCGGATTCAATCCCTGGATCGGGAAGATCCCCTGGAGAAGGAAAGGGCTGCCCATTCCAGTATTCTGCCTGAAGAATTCCATGGACAGAGGAGCTTGGCAGGCTATAGTCCACGGGGTCACAAAGAATCTGACACAACTGAGGGACTAACACTTTGGCTTCACATAGTACTAGGAGTAAATTTCTCTTTTTTTATTTTTCAAGTTCCAATGCCTTGTTGTCTTTTTAGTTATTTATAAGAAAACAGACAGTATGTCAAAGAAGGCATACACCTGCTAATGAACACAAAAATGTTCATCATTGTGAATTAGTTATTATTTAGTTGCTAAGTCATGGCCAACTCTTTTGTGACCCCATGGACTGTAGCCTGCTAGGTTCCTTTGTCCATGGGATTTCCCAGGCAGAAATACTGAAGGGGGTTGCCATTTCCTTCAACAAGGAGTAAATTTCTATAGCATGTTTTCCGTTAGAATCACAGAATCTTCAAATACAATGGAGTCTTTTCATCCAGTTTCTTACCTAGAGAATTTACCTATAACATCCTTTACCAGTTACTTAATTGCAGTTCTGTTAAACCCTGCAATGGCTAGATCCATCCACTCTATTTTTTGATGGCTCTAATTACTTAAAATATTCATCTTTTATTGAGCTAAAATTCGCCTCCCTGTAATTTCCAGCAGTTGGTACTAATTTGGCTTTATGGGTCAGTATAAAGTAGTTTAGTTTGCCAGGGCAGTTCTTTAGCTAATATTTAGCTGTATTGTTTTCTTATGAATCTTCTATTTTTTCTAAGATTTTAACAACCAGTTGCCATGTGGTAATAGAGCATAGGTGTTAAGAACTTGGAGCTTTTTAGGTGGCTCAATGGTAAAGAATCTGCGTGCCAATGCAGGAGTCACAGGAGACGTGGGTTCAATCCCTGGGTGGGGAAGATTCCCTAGAGTAGGCAATGTTAACCCACTCCAGTATTCTTGCCTGGAAAATCCTATGGACAGAGGAACCTGGTGGGCTCTGGTCCGTAGGATCACAAAAAGACCGACGTGACTTAGCGACTGAGCATGTTAAGAACTAACATTTTCATACTTCTTTCCTAATCTCAAAATTTTCAATGACTCTCTTCAAATATGGTGACCAGAAATGAAGAAAATGCAATAGTTGTCATTTGACCAGTGTAGGATATAGTGGGACTTGATATATTTTGAATTTTTAAAAAAATTACAAAGCGGCGTATTTAGTATGATCCTTTTCTTTAACAAAGAATAAATGTGTGTGAACGTTTATATTGTGTGTTAAGAAGTCTGGAATGATAAGCACAAGAATGTAGTTATTGGGTTTCCCTGGTGTCTCAGACAGTAAAGAGTCTTCCTGCAATGCAGGAGACCAGGGTTCGATCCCTAGGTTGGAAAAATCCGCTGGAGAAGGAATAGGATTATTTAGTGAATGGTGGAATTGTGAGTGATCTTTATTTTTTGGCTTATCTGTATTTTCCCATATTTTAGAGTAAACATGTATTGTGCAATGAAAATGAAATAGCAGCTATTTAAAACATGATACAATGAAGTTACTAGTTTCTCATTATTGATCTAAGACCTGCCTTAGTACAG